GGGGGTGAACAAACCCGCCACGCTTTTCCTTCTAACAGTGATGAGGTTAAAAAGGATTTTAGACTTTCACACAGCATTTCACGGTTCGATTGTCTGCTACATCGAACGTTTTCGAAACCCAGGCCACGCGGACGTTCTGCAGATGACATCTTCGACTGAAGTGTCACAGAATAAAATAAGATTGAAACGGAACGTCATATTATTGTTTGCGGAACATAAGACTGATGCTACTCGTTGTACAAAGTTATATCAATTGTGACCAATGATGTTCAATTAAAGTAGTCAGAAATAAATCTACTCCTTAAAATTTGCGGTGATTGAAATGTTAGTCTAAGTAGTAAAGGCATAATGCCTTTGTGCCGAAGTCCTCTTGCTAGTTTAAATGAATTCTATGATTTTTTTTTAATAAAGTAGACGTAGTAAAATAATGGCCTTTGAACAATTAATATTCGTTATGTACTATAAAATTGTTCGACGCTGATCGAAAACGATTAAAATGGTGCAAATTGATATCCCTGGGAAAGCGGCAGATGACGCGAACCGAGCAAAAACACCTCCGCTACATAACCATCCAATTTATATAGAACCTTCATTTTAACTGAACTACTGTATGTGCACTTTGTTATACTGAATACACTTTTGATGCAATACGGTATTAACCGAGGCGAGGTACAAAGATTATTGTAGAGAAATTCTTGTACATTTTTGAGTTCTTTGTTTTCCAAAACGTCTTGACTTTTTTAAACTGCACTTCTCAACTTTATAAGATAACATAAAGTAATATATTAAGTACTCACCACTTTTATAAAACATTTTAGCATGAGTTTGTTCATAAAAATTAAATCATTCGTGTAATTTTTCAAAACAAATTAACGAAATAAAATCTTTAATTACTCAAATCTTTTAACGCTCAAAATAGTCAAAGTACGTGTTTTAAATTGAAAAGAGAGATTGAAGTATTTTATACTTTTATAAACGCGCAGCAAACAAAACGGGATTGGCTGAAGTGACAACTTAAGCTTTGAAGAGGCTTATTTAATTCTACATGAGAGCTGTGCCATTTAGTATACGCTCTCGTTTTATAGATTTATATAAAAGATATGATCTGATGATCATCATTTACTGTGAAAGTTTTTTTATTTTTTTTAGTAACACAATAATGAAATACAATTTTATGTAATACTTTTAGAACTAAGAAGCAAAATGAATCTTATATATGTATTCTACAGACATAGTTCTTTCCACATTCATTACGTTTTTATACTGTGACATATTAAATTCTTATGACATAAATAGTAAGACACACTGGAGAGGATTCAGAATGTCAGGCGATTCTATTTTAAAATGAAAAATGTTAACGGCGTTGGATGTACGCGTCAACTACGGCTCAGGTGGATACACTGGCATGAAGATCGATTACTTTGCACCCAACTTCACATAAATAACGTTGCGCTTTCATATCAAATACCTTTGTTAATATTTGAAATAAAGCATTGCTATTAAATTTAACATTTGAAACAGATAGAGACCATTAAATTTCAATATAAAACATCATGTCTACAAATGAACAATGCATTGTAAAAACATTTGTCAATATTTACAAGAGACATTTATAAGAGATAAATAATTCAGGTTAATTTAAAAACCTTAAAAAACAAGTGATTTATATAAAACTAAGTTTCATTCAGTTTTCGCATATCTTCAAATATCCAATAAACAATAACATTTGTCAAAATTTTAAATTATATTATTAAAAGTATTTAATCGGTCAATTCTATTTGCAAATAGTTACGTGGCGTAGACACTCATAGCATTACTACGTCGTAGCTCTGCTACATTGAAGCATGCATGCTACAACGTAGCTGTTCGGCGAAAATGTATTTAAGACGAGATAAATTTTCGAGCGTCTGTTGTAACTTTACTGCGGTTTTCAAAATACAATATTTGAAACTGAAGCTTTAGGGCTATTACATTATCATTGATTTACTGTCTGACGTTGATTAGTGTATTAATTCAAGAGTTATCGTGAAAGAAATTGTGACATGTTTTTTTTTCAATTAACTTTCGTTAAGTGTTTATTAAGAATAAAGTTATAAAAGGGAAATTAATTTTATAAATACTCCTTTTTTTTTCACACACTGAAGTTCTCGTTTACTACACCGGAAGTTTTGGTAAGTTTTTAGTACCTACTCAATCAAGTCGCCTCTACCTTCTTTATGGCATACTTCGGCAAACTATCGTAAAATTTTATTGTTTTTACACCCCAGGAATAAGTGAAATATTTCCAATTTAAATTTAATTTCCTCGTCACAGCACACGTCGAGAAAAGGCAGTTCAATTAGTTTACACATAAGTTCTTGTTGTTAAGGCTTGTTTTAATTTATATTAATTAATCATAACTAGTTACTATTTGTGTTTCTACATCATGTACTTACCCGCAAGCTCATAATTACATTGTACATATTTAAATTTTCTCATTGTAAGTGAAACATTGTGTTTTTTTTATGAGAATAAATATCTTTAAACCTAAATGATTTTCCCATTCAAGAAATTGTTCGTTTAATATCTACATTTTTACCTATCTTATAAGGGATATTTCTACCTTCAAATTAATATTTCCCAAAAGGCAACCAAACGAGAGTCACAATGTAATAAATCCGTGTCGCAAATTCAAGAGAGACATCAAAGTCTACGCTTTGATCCTATGAAAGCTCTCGTCGTGCCTATCAAAATATACACGAGTGCTTCAATTAATATTTAATTATGCTAAATTGAGATTAATAATTTAAAATATAATATTTAAATCTTACGATTTTTTTATTAGTATTAACATCATCAGCCTTTATCTAGCCACGGTTCAATTATTAGTAACCTAGATAATGAAATTATTAAATTTATTTATCACAAATGAACTAATTTAAATTGATATTTCAATGTTTTAAAGCGAAATGTCTGAACTAAGAGCTTGGTAACAAATGAACGTAATACAAAGTGAAGCCATTATTAATTGCAGCTTTCGTAAGGTCAGTTCCTCGCGGATGCATTTGTGGCAAGATGTAAGTAATTGTGGAGAGAATAGCAAAGAAACCAGTATTTCTACCGAAAGTAAGTGAATAGAATGTTAAATTAATGTATTCGCTTGAACCAGCGAGCTTTATACATCTACTTATCTAACACGCTTTTTATGTTAAAAAATCAATGCTTGTATGGCTTAAGGAAATTTTAAGTAACTATTCTCAACTCTATTCTACTTCTTCACGTTTTGAAAGAGCGCAAGCCAACATTGGTGCGTTTATTTTTATTCAATTCAAAGTTCCAGACCGACGTAGTTCCGCAGAAGCCTACAATGTGCAAAGTTGGCATTAGTCTGTTCTATAACAGTCGTTTTTATTTTAAGAAGTTTAAAATAGCCACCGAGGAACTTAGACTATACTTATGATTTTGCAACAGAAATAAGCATCTTGCTGGCGGTTACATAAATACAAGTTTTGTTTTAAGTTTTGTTTAAACTAAAAAACCTTAACATGTACAAAGGTACTCGATTGGTATAAACACGCTTTTATAACTTTTACAAAAATGTAAAACACAATTACTCTTTCATTTGAATTCGTAATTAAATCTTAAAATATGTAAAATATCCATATTTCCGTCGAGTTTCGTGCGATCAGAATTTTTTTTTCACTAGCGCAAAGAGAAAATCCAAGCGTTTATTAAATACCGGGCGGGGGGAGGTCCCACTCAGGGCCCATTAAAGTCACTCGTGTTGACATTATGCATCGAATTTTTGCAAAGCGAGTTCCGCCGTTCTTGTAAAATTCAGCAACTATGTTGTAACCTTTTACTGCAGTAAAACGTGCTTTAAATAAGAACCAATTCATTTTACGCTTTGTACTTAAAGTAAAAAAAAGTATAACGAAATAAAAGTTTATAACTGAAAATAACATTATTTTAAATAGAAATTGAATAGAAAAATAGTCTAATACGTACGCATATGCGTGACCATTTTGCCACGAAAAAGAAGTACGTGAATCTTGTATTTGCTTTCTGTAACACACTCACTCGTCTGCATACATTCTCACTACGTTAATTGTAAATGAGGAGTACTAAAGAACTTAAGCTCATGCTTTTTCGCTGTAATACACGTTATTTACATAGCGAAAGAAACGCTCTTTGTTTATAAAGCAGAAACTACAAGATAACAAAGTACCGTCACTTAAATGCAAAGGCAAAGATAACATAACAGTCGGTTTTTTTTATTATACCCTCAAATAAACCGTACACTAGAGATAATTTTAGAATTTTAGCTTTATATACAATGGTTACAACTTCATCCATTTTTACCGCAATGGAGAACTAATAATTCTAAAACTAACTAGAACATGTTACGTACCACCGAGCAATGTTTCTAGCAATGCATTTTTTTCATTGTACTAGTATCCTTTTTAGCTCTCAGTATATTCCTACAGGCACGCTAACTTTTTTCATTAGATTGTGAAATTCTAGAGTTGTATTTGCCCACATATGAGCTTCAGTTTGTTAAACTTGCAACTGTCCTTCCAGTCTATTTCGTATATTCAAAATTCTCTATGGTATTACAAAATGTAAAACGGTCAATTACATATTTTTGTGTATAGTTTTTATCTAAATCATTGATTAATCTTATTTGCCATCATTTTACTGTTACGTGTGACTTATTTTTTCTGTAATATAAAGTACGGCCGATGATCACTTGTATCTAATACAAATATATTTCCCAGAAGGAAATAACAAGAAAATAATTATAATGCATGTCAGTTACAAAACAATATAAATAAAAAATAAACAACCTACCTGCTTCAATAAACAAGTCTTTATTTCATAAAGAGTTATGGTAAAGAATCAATCCTGTTCGTGTAAGAGTCGTAAAAAATTATTAGGATTGTTTTCTGCTTACCTACCATTTGTATTTTGACTGTCACGTAGAATTTCTATTTTGGAAATCGAAAAAAAAACAATAAATATTTTGTACATTTTATTAAAATGTCATTCAAAGTAATACTTAATTCAAAAGTTATTCTAATTCAAATCACGTTTTTATAAAATAACATCAGGTAGACTGCAATCGACTGTTACATTACAATCGTAGTTCACATCATTTGCCTTATGTTCAACAGACATTTCAAAAGCGTCACAATCATCGGTTAGTTTGTCAAAGAAATAACTCGTATTCATTTTAGATAAACGTTTTGACATATCAATAGACTTTGTCTTTCTAGGACTACTTTTGGGAGTCGAACAATAGTTTTGTATAAAATTTCTTTGTGCAGTTTTCTTATGTATCGCTTTATTCTTCTCAAAAATAAGTTTTACAAGGTTATTGTTGACAGATGCAGTCTTTATATCAGATCCTCTTGTGACTATTTGGTCAACGATATCTGATAAGTTACTGATATCTACTTCCTCAGTACTTGAATTAAAAAAGCTTAGATTCTTCATGGTTTCCATTTTACGAGATAAATTTAATAGATTACTTATAGGCTCATCTGATTTGCTTGATTTGTGACATTTTTGAAAACTTAAATGTATTTTACTTGTACTGCATTTGCTTTTCTTACTTTTAAAATAACTATCAATGTGTTTCGTTTTAACATTATTTTTTAATTTCCTCTTCAATTTGCTAACTGAAATGCTCACTTGGGCTTTGCTTGTATTACCGGTCGCATCTAAACTTAATCTCTTTAATGAATTGTTTACAATCTCTAAATCCTCAACTTTCTTCTTTCTAGTATATTTTCTCTTTGGTTTATCTGGATCTTGATTCTCTTTGTCTTTCTTCTGTCTGGTTTTCTTAACTTTTACTGGCTTTTTGATTGATTCCTCGTATGTTTCTACTATATCTGGATAATATTTACGCATTAAGTCTTGCCTTTCTATTGAAGTCCACACTTTTATTGGATCTTCGTTATCTGTAAAATAATGGAAAAAATTGCTGTTTCAACTTATCGTAAAACGTAATCGTCATCACTTTTATACATTTACAAACTTTACTAACCCTCAAATTGATCGTCAGGAATGAGACCTTCAAACTCCCCATTTATATCATCCCAAACTACTTCGTAACTTGGTACACCTGTTACAAACAACAAGACATGAAAGAGATAAATTTCATATCACATTGTCATACAATATCTCATTTAAGTTACCTTTAGGATTTCTCTTTTTCTTAATTTCTTTCGGTTTAATTTTTCTACAAATTACAGTATCTTGGAGATGCCATTTTGTGAGAATTGGTAAGAATTTCTCCACACAATACCTTTCAGACCAGTCTAACTTACTACACATTAATTTCTGTAAGAAAAAAAAAAATTTTATATTATAGAACTGGATTTTAATAGACATATAGCGTTATTAGCTTTATTACGTAAGATTATTTATAATAGCTTTATTACGTAAGAATAGGAAAATTTTAGCTAAAAATGGAGGTAAAAGACAATTTAAGAAGTGACAGAGAATTCTAAGTAAAGGTACTTCTGAGGTATAGGAAGAATGATGAATTTACAAACCACAAATTGTATCAAACTAGGAACAGGTGTAGTTAAGTCGTTAAGATCGATGTGTTCACTGCTTGCGTTTAAAAACTCCTTCATAACTTTTGGTTCTGGAAATGGCATACCACATGAAAGGGCTCTAGTACGTAAAGATAGTTCCCGCTTCACCTCTGCTACCTTAGCCCTGAAATT